GGAAAAAAAATCTTTGAGTTTTTCTCGGTAAGTGTCGGACAAAATACAGCCTCAACCTCTTCTCAACATTTTTTCTCACATCAAAATCTTAATTCAGATAAAGAAATAAAAATGCACAGAAGCCTTTCTTTGAGAAACGAAGTTAACAAAGGTCAGATAAAAAAGTGGAAAAGGACGAAGATAAAGAGGAAAAGCTGTGTTGCATGTGAAACATAACAGTTCGAAAAATCAAGTGAGATGTCGGAGCAAGATTTTTATATGCAAATGAGAAATGCTCTTGAATTAAATTTTAAAACGATGTAAATGGGATGTAAGTGGAATGTAGCGGATAAATGACATGGAATAATTACTATTTTTAAATTGAGTATTATAACGGAATGTTCGTTCGAACTCGAAAAAATGTTAGATTTTCTAGACCAGGATCTCTCGATGTCTGGGTTTAGTTGCAATGAAAACTAATATTCTGCATCCTTTTATTTTATTTTTCATTCATTCACATCCCAGAATGTATAACTAATTTTTATTAGTCTCATCGTTCCAGCTATTGCTGAAGTTTGAAAAATATTTTAACTTTATATCTCGACTGATTACTTCTGAAGTTGTGTAATTTTCAAATCAAGTGAAATTTGAATGATCAAACCATCAATATATGTAAATCTATTAATCTTTAATTCTGATAACTGATTAAAAATCATCTTCAAAAGAATCTGAACCATCTTCCTACAGGTCCTTTAAGGTTGTCTGAAAAAACCGATGAGTTTTTAGTAGCCAGTAGCAAGCCAGAATGTTTCTTCAATATTATATTAGACGTTTAGGTTTCTTCTCACACTTTTCACCCGGCTGGACTTCCACCGGTGTCCCGCCCTCCGTTGAAGGTGTCATATAAACCGATCGCAGACAAAAATAATGAAGATAACTGCGCCCAAGAAGAAATAAAATGCAATGATGTCGGACCACCCGCATCTTGCCTGAATTTTATTTTTTCCACTCTTCTCGGGCTCTCTGTTTATGCATTCGAAACGAATTATAATCTGTCTCGGATAGCGTCTCCTCGTGACACACGCCTCTAAAAATGACATGTATCGTATTCAAACCAGGTTGGAGTTGGTCGCTTTTTGCGTGAGCAAGGCCACAACCATAAACAGTCCATTTGCATTGAATGATCGCTCGAACTGCAATGATTTCAATGAATCCAACTTCTAACATACACGTATGCATACTGTTGTGGCTCAGTTTTTGCGAGTCTTCAACGAAGCGCTTGCATTTTGAAGAGTCATTGTTAGAAATACCATTAGAAGCACCCATGTCAAATCAACGTTTATGGGAAGATAATTTCATTTTTATCAATAGTTTTTGTCGATATTGAAGAAATCAACCCCATAAAGAAATAGAGCAGCAATGATCAAAATGAACTTACTGCCGGAGATATGGAAAATTAGAGATTTGCTTGTATGTTTACAAGAAGCCTTGGATTATTTAGAATAATAATAATATTGGGATCTTTGGAAGTGATTTTAATTATTTAATGCTTTACTTTATGTTTCCTGAGTTGCGTTTTCTGCTTCACTTTTTAGCTGACCATTTTCACTCTCTTTTGGCAATTGGTCCTTTTTTGATTTGATTTCTCTCTTCGTCTTAATATTCTTTTGAATTCGTTCTTTCTTCAGAAAAAAGTTATAGCCATTTCTACCCTCCTCGTTCGTTTATTAAAGCTACAATGGTTTTTTTTGTTGTTTTGCTCTATTTTTTTTCGGATTGTAATGTTTTAACGTTTTTCGTTTTTTCTTGATTCAGAAAGTTTGAATGAACCCAAAACTTTCGAGAAAAAATATTCATTTATATTCAATATAGTTCTTTGCTACCGTTTCGCTCTTTGTCTTTTTGCCATTGATTGATCACTGCATTGCTTTTTTAACAAACACTTTTTCAGGACTCAGAAAGTTCCACACTTTTCAGTTGATCATTTTTACTTTTACGTTTTTTGGTTGATAATTTT